GCAAAAAAAGGCCTTATGCAGAACTGTGCAGAAGAAAGACTTTCAGGCAGTGATTTCGCTGCTTTGTAATGCATGCTAAACCTTGTATGACAGAATCCTTACAACTATAGAAATTAATGAAATGATGCCATACTGAACGAATGCTCTAAATAGTATTAAACATTTGGCACAGCAGATAGGTACATAAACCTCAGAGTTTAGTGCACCTTGTTTAACTGGAATTCGCATAAGAGTCAACAGACGTAGCATCCCAACAGACATTTTCTGGTGTCGTACCATCTTGCTTTGTATAATTTGGACCCCTGGTCCAAATAGGGGTCATTTTATACCCACAAATGAATGTGGTTACATTGTTTGTAAGACAAAGAAAGCCCTTATTCCTTAATGTGTAATTATCACACCTAAATTGGTGCTCTTCCAAATCCAAAATCCGTTTCTGTCTCTCTATTAAGGCGCACATTTATGTTTACATTTTTGGAGGCTATTTTTCTTACCACAAAGCACTGGAGGTGGCTTACTATATAACTTACATATAAAACAGCGGAATCCAAAATTCAGTCCGAGGGCTTACTTTGCAAGATTGCTTTGTGAAGGTGGTTTCCTTACATTTTGTCCACGCCATGGGTTGGATCCAGCCAGCTCTTTTACTGAATCGCACCCTGGTCCCCTCCATACTCATTTTGTAGACGAAACTCCTGTGATTCTTCAGTGTAGCCTTTTTTTAAGCAGCCTCCCTTTATTGCCAGCAAAAAAAGCTGGTTGGATCCAATCCATTTTTGTTTCTTTTTCTTTTTCTTATTTAGTACATGCAAGCAGAATAAAACAGGCAGGTGCAGCACCATATCAGATTGTTTTCACAATTAAGCTTTCATGTCTCTACATGCAAACTGCTGTATAAAGTAAAAGATGCTTCGTATGTTTTATTCATGATGTCTTCTAGCAAAGAAAAGAAAACAAGGAGTAGACGGATTTCTACCGACAACCCTTTTTTCCCAGCTGTGTTTTCTAAAATTTATATTCTAATGCAGTATCTTGCAAAGCAGAATGAGATTGTTGCGTAGTGTAATCTTAACTATTTTGGTAGGCTAAGTTAAAAATCAGCTGAAAACCTCTTGCCGTTGACTATATTTTTAGGCTGCCCTCTTCATTATGGCCTGACGAATTCAGAACCACTCGTCTCCAGTTTCTATAATAGCACTTATCTAGTGATCCTCTGCTGCAATCATTGGCTAGGGGTAAATCCTATACACATCCTCCTCTAAGGCAATATATAGAATCACAGAATCACAGAGTTGGAAGAGGCCATACAGGCCATCTAGTCCAACACCTCTGCTCCATGCAGGATCAGCCTAGAGCATCCCTGACAAGTGTTTGTCCAACTGCTGCTTAAAGATTGCCAGTGAGGGGGAGCTCACCACCTCCCAAGGTAGCTGACTCCACTGTTGCACAACTCTTACTGTAAAAACATTTTTCCTAATATCCAGCTGGTGCCTTCCCGCCCTTAATTTAAACCCATGATTGTGAGTCCTGTTGTCTGCTGTCAACAGGAACAGCTCCCTGCCTTCCTCTAAGTGACAGCCCTTCAGATACTTCAAGAGAGCAATCATGATCCCCCTCAATCTCCTTCTCCAGACAAAACATTCCCTAGTCCCTCAGCCTTTCCTCATAGGGCTTGGTCTCCAGACCCCTAATCATCCTCAGTGCTCTCCCCTGCACCTGCTCCATTCTGTCCACATCCTTTTTGAAGTGAGGCCTCCAGAACTGCACACAATACTCCAGGTGTGGTTTGACCAAGGCAGTGTACAGTGGGACTATGACATCTTGCGAATTGGATGTTATGCCTATCAGTGTTCCCTCTAAGCTGAGTTAGTGTGAGCTAGCTCACAGTTTTTTAGCCTCTGGCTCACCCATTTTTGTCTCCACTCAGGAAGGAGGGCTCCAGAGCAAACTAATTTATACAGCAGCCAAACTGCTCACTCACCAGTTTAATGCCAGAAGCTCACAAAGTGGAATTTTTGCTCACAAGACTCCACAGCTTAGAGGGAACATTGATGCCTATATATCTAATATGCTTAGTGCATGCAGGTACAAAAATGGGCAACATGCAAAAAAAAAAAAAATACAGGAATGGAGCCCAGGGGAAGGAACTCTTGATAGGCTCTGATGGATTTTCAGTCTCACTGCTGATTGTATGTGTGAGACTTACAGTACCAGTTCATCATGGGTTGCTGCACTCCTTCAGTTTCTGTCCAACTCCAAGACAATGTAAATGGAGACTGAACCTTTAGAACCAAGTATGATGTCTTATGTACAGTTCTGCTGTGGTGTTAAAGTAGTACCGATATGAAAGCAGAACCAGATAGTAGTTTTCAAATTGGCTGTGTAATCTTAATTCATTCCTAACAAAAACCAGCAGGAAATGGCTGACCAGTTTCTAGCACCTGCTAAAATCACAGGCAACAAGAAAACAGGAAAAAAGCTAAAAGCTGAAATAAAAACAGTAAGATCGGTAAAAGCCAGCTATCAACAATAAAAAGCAATAGATCAACACCACGTTATCTCATCTCACCTATCACCAATGGTCGTTGACACCTGGCAGAAGAATACACAGTGAAGCATGAGAGAAGAGGAGAGGATATTTTTCATATCTTCCCCCCTCACACACCCTGATGCCTTCATCATTGTCTTCAACATTTAGAAAGAGCCATTTTCTGGGTGAAGGAAAGCCTTTAGGGACAAACATCTGGTGCTAGGTGGCCCTTGGTTGATCGGTAGTGCAGTTTGAAGGCAGGGGCTATTTTCCTCAGAGCCATTACAGAACCTTTGAAGAGCTAGGGGTGAAACTAGAGGACTCTGAATGGGACATCTTACATGGTTGTCCCATTCCAAATGCTTTCATATAACGCTTCTTAACCTTATTATTTCTATCATATCTCAGTCCTCTCTTATTGCAAGCTGCCCTGGAGATGCGTTGTCAGACAGAAGGGCTGCATATAAATACTGAAAATAAAAGCATCAGCTGTAAAGCTTACTCAGCTATGGACGGCCAAAAAATGAGAGGGTTTCTAGAACAGGGAGCCCCAGCATGTGGGGCCATAATACCAAAAGCCTGCTCCTGCGTACAAATGCCACACAATGATGTTTAGCGAAGTTGAGCAAAATCGCCCCAGGCCATGTGTCTGGAAACAGGAAACCCACATACAGTGACAGGTTAATGCAGGTGGAATGGCATCTAGTCTCTGCCCTAGGTGTTTATCCCGCCCTTTCTCAGTGCGGCATGCAAACTTCTCCCTTTCCCTGTTGTGGACCGTGTGACAATGCAGTGCGACCTCATTTTTTATTGTTCTTAAAGGAGTTGATGTCCTTTGGACTATTGATGAAAGTTCCGGGAATCTGGGCCCTCTCACATTCTACCGTTGGTTGTTAGCTTTTGATGATGGTGGCAGCCCCCAAAAGCCTGGTGGAAGAGCTCTGTTTTACAGGCCCCGCGGAACTGTAGTTGTGTGACTTCCGCTCTAAAGTTCCAGTGCCTGCCGAGTACCTTTTTCTAGGTACTCAATCTGCTCTGCCTATCATCTGTTCTTCCAGCAACTGCCAAATCATAGGATAGAAGACTTTGCCTGCAGTAGAACCTGGCAACTGACGCAGTGCGGTTCCCCCATACAGCATGGACAAGAACACTGGCTATTTTCAGCTACATTAAGCCTGGACACAACTGGTTGTTTTCCCGTTTTTGTATATCGAATAAATGCTTTGAAGAGTTAGACAAACCTTGCACAATTTACCTTTTTATATAGCACAATGATGTTTTTTTTTTCTTTTTAATGTTAAAAATAACTACAGTCTTTTTAAGCGTTCTTCATTTACTCAGCAGTTAACAGAATGTAAGACATGTACTGGGTTGTTTTTCCCCCATTGTCCAACTAGTAGCCTGTATAACTTTAATTCTTCTCCATGTAGAGCTATTTGGCTTTTCAGTGTGTTGTCGAAGGCTTTTGCTATTGAAAATGCAAATTTAGATGTATGTTTGATTTCTCCAGCAAAAGGTGTATGAGGCACTTGGAATTTTATATGGATTATTGGTATATGAACCCCTAGCATAGTTCAATCACCTGGGCCACAGGCAAGAAGAGGGTCCCATCCTACCTCCCACAGTTTTGGTTTGCTAACATTGGAAGCAGCGCGCACTTGGCAAACGTGCTCAGAATATGCTTTGATATTTACAAACCAAAGTTGGATATTAATATGTTCTCCATCAAGAAGGCAGGAGCACGTTTGTGCCAGCTGAGGGCAAAGTCCATGGCTCAGATGCGATCCTGCAGTTAAGTGTTTGCTTCACCAATACAATCATATTGTCTTAAGGTTGGTGTTCTGTTTGTGATGGCTCCTCAGTCCACACAAGAGATCACAAGCAGCAGCTTGCGACTTTTCACCGCTTCTTCTCTTCAGTTGGAAGAAAGTGGGGGAGGGTTATAACTGTTCATCTCTGTTGAGCTGAAATTCTTGAACAGGGAAGCAGTTTTTAGCAAAAAGGCCAGGGCCTTTTCAGTGGCGGCTCCGCACTGGTTGAATGAGCTCCCAGATGACATCAGGGCCCTGCAGGACCTTTTACAGTTCCGCAGGGCCTGCAAGACGGAGCTCTTCCACCAGGCCCTTGATTAGGGAGCTGCCATCAATAAATGGAGGCCCTGGCCCCTATACCAACATCAGTAGTGGTATTAACACCACTATTACAGCCTGTCCAGACTATGAGGTTAGCTGATTATGGATTAATGTTGAGTGCTGCTAATGCCCGCCACCGGTTACGAATCTGCACTAGCACTTTATGCTATGTTTTCTGACCATTTTGTTGTGGTTTTATTGAATTTTGTGTTTCAGTTCAGTGTATTTTAGTAGGGTAGCCGCCCTGAGCCTGCCTTGGCAGGGAGGGCGGGATACAAATCAAAGAAATAAATACATAAAAGCCATCATGGTGGCATTTTTGTTGGGTTCTCGGTGAGGCCGTTGCTTCATGAATTACTTCTCTCCCCCCCCCCTTCTGCAGTCTGTCAAGGGACCACCAACAAGCTGACCCAGCTGGCCAGTGACGAGGAACACTACAAGAGCCTGAAGAGGATGTACGAGGGCTGTGAGGTCGTGCTCAGCAATCTGGAGATCACCTACATGGATCATTCACATAACCTCACTTTCTTGAAGGTCAGTAGGGATTACTCATATTGTTCTGGTCAGGGGTCATTTCCTCCAGGAGCGCACAGGAGCGGAGCTCCGGCAGTAAAGAGCCCAGGGGGCGGGCACATGCAACAAGCCCCACCCCCTGCTCCCAGCAGCCCTCGGTCAGAGCAAGAAGCAGCCAGGTAAGTTGCAGAGCTCCCCCCGGCTCAAAACAGTCCACTGGCACCTTTAAGACGAAATTTTATTCAGGTACAAGCTCTCCCTCCTCTGCAAGGAGAGATCTGCATGTTCCCAATAGTCCAGTGGAGCCTGAGCGGTGGGTGCTGCCTTCTGACACACTTCCCGTGATGTCCGTGGGTGTGACATATGCAAATCAGTTATGCTAATGTGTTATGCTAATGAGCTCCTGCACCTCTTTTTCTACGAAATGACCCCTGGTTCTGGTTCAGATGAAGAGGAGAAGAGGAATGCTCATTGTGGTCTCTGGAGACACCAATCCATACCTCGGTCAACAAGTCACTGTCTGGTGGATTGTTGTGTCAAGCGAGGTGGGGGCGCGTGGGACAGGAAAGCTTCGTGTCCCTGTCCCCCCTGCTGAATCTTAATGTCAAATATCGGTTGTCTGCCAAAGTTCCCTCTAATTTTTCCCCCTACTGAGCGGAGCAGTTCACCTTCTGAGCAGAACGTGACTGCTGAAATCTTCAAATGGGCAATGGGCAGTGCAAGACCCCACGTGGATGAGCGGAGCAGTTCACCTTCTGAGCAGAATGTGACTGCTGAAATCTTCAAATGAGCAATGGGCAGTGCAAGATCCCGCGTGGATCCAGACTGCTGCTGAGCGGGGTTTCCTGTGTTCAGCCGCTCACATGCACAGCTCAGAGGGAACACTGGTGCACCCTCTCTTTTTTTGGCCAAAGGGCTAACCGTTGGAAGGCTTGGATGCTGCAAACGTGGCTTAGGGATTCCTTTGGTGGTGGTTGTTCAGTTGCACAGTCGAGTCCGACTCTTTGCGACCCCATGGACCAGCTCCCGCCAGGCCTTCAGGTCTTCCGCTGTCCTCTGAAGTTTGCTCAATTTCATGTTCGTTGCATCGATGACACTGTCCAACCATCTCATCCTTTGCCGTCCCCGTCTTCTTTGACCTTCCATCTTTCCCAGCATCAGGGTCTTCTCCAGGGAGTACTCCCTTCTCATTTGGTGGCCAAAGTATTTGAGCTCCAGTTTCATTATCTGGCCTTCCAGGGAACAGTCAGGGTTGATTTCTTTGAGGATTGACTGATTTGATCTCCTTGCAGTCCAAGGGACTCTCAAGAGTCCCTTTGGTAGCAAAGAGCTAAATATATCCACACCTTTTTCCTACTTCTCACCAAGAAGAGATTGCAACTAGTGAGAATGGTTGTGTATCATACTTCCCACTGTAAGCATCCCTCTTCCAGAAATGTTGCACGTGTGCACTTTCCACCTTTCAGGTGAGTCCTGAAATTGTTTATCAAGGTGGTTGGGAGGCAGAAATTGTGGAAGTCTTCTCCAAGTGCTGAAGGAGAAGCAACACAATGCTCCTTCTAAGCTGTGGAGTCTTGTGAGCAAAAATTCTGCTTTGTGAGCTGCTGGCATTAAAGTTGTGAGCGAGCGATTTGGCTGCTGCCTAAATTAGTTTGCTCTGGAGCCCTCCTTTCTGAGCTAAGACAAGAATGTGTGAGCCAGAGGCTAAAAAACTATGAGCTAGCTCACACTAATTTAGCTTAGAGAGCACACTAAGTATGAAGGCATTGTTGGTTTATGCCCCTTACGCGACTGGAGTGAGAGGTTTTGGCAAATATTTTTTTCCCAGGCTTCAAAGCACGAGTGTTTGCCTAAATGAGAGTTAGGAAGAGACTGCTTCCCTATAGCAAAGGATTTTGCATCATCTGCAGATAATGATACCGTACGTAGGACTTGATACCAGGAATCTGGGTTCAACCCTACATTCAACATGGACTTAAATGGAACGATCCTGTTCGCTGTTCACTGTTTGTCAGTCTTATGTACTGCTCTGGAATGTTGAGCGTATGATTGACAAATTGAATGTCGGTAGTGGGATCCCTACCCCCAGCCCACTCCGACTCAGGCACAGGACCTCTGTCTTCGTTGGATTCAATTTCAGTGGGCTCAGTCTAAGCCAGCCCGCCACATCCTGAAGCGCCCGGTCCAGGTCCTGAGGGGTAGAGTCAGACTGACCGCCCAACAACAGATATAGCTGGGTGTCGTCTGCATATGGATGACACCCTAGCCTATGCCTCCAGGCAATCTGGGGGGCGCAAAATCTGTGGAGGCTTGGATAGACCCCACCGTTTCTTAATATACTTTGTCCTTTCCTTCCAGCTTTTCATTTGATCTGGGCTGCATGTTCTCTGCTTCAGCAGTCTAGAAACACTTGGCAGAGTTCTATAACACCTTAAAGAATAACACGTTGATTGTGGCTTAAACTTTTATAAGCAAGACTCTTATCTGATAAAGCAGGGCTTTGCTCATAGAAGTTGTAGGCACAGTAAGCGTGTCAAACCTCAAGACGCTGCAGGACTCTGCATAGTTTATATTTTAACTTTGTTTTTATAACAAAAACCGGGAATGGAATGTTAGGTCCCAAAACAGTTGGTATCATAAAACTCAAATATGCAAAAAAGTTGCATTCAGCTTACGCTCGAGATCATTAAAGAGCCAAGGTCACTTAAGAAACAAAATAAAAGACCAACATATTTTGCAGGAGACAGCATAGATTGAGATTTGCCCTCAGTAAGGAAAGCTTTATTAAGTAAGTAGGTTTATTAAGTAAACTTTGCTTAACACAAATGGCTTTGAATTTACATCTTAAAAGCTGTATTTGACAGCCAAGGTTTTCCCCAGTCTCCAACCCCAAAATACCAAGCACCTATGGTTGGATGTCTTCCAGTGTTCCAGCTCTGTGCAACTACTAAGCTCAGTGCACTAACCAAAGTAATAGCTACATCTTTATATATATTATTAGCCAACGTAAAGCGAGCAGAGAGACCTCTTAAAAGATTTCCTAACGCGAACTAAAAGAAAACCGGCTGACATTAGGTATCCTTGTGTCTTCCTTCTCCTTGACCAGAGCATACAAGAGGTGGGTGGCTATGTGCTGATAGCAATGAACATGGTGAAAAGTATTCCTCTGGAGAACCTCCGGATAATCCGAGGAAACACCTTACACGAGGGCGCTGCACTGGCAGTTTTGCTCAATTATGACCCCTCAAGAGGACTGGAAGAGCTGCCTCTGAGAAATTTGACAGGTGAGACTTGAAGCGATTGCAAGTATTGTTGCCCTTGAACTTACGGCAGAGCATGTGCCTCTGAAACCATTCTGCTTGAAAGTCTGGAGTTAAGCCAGTGCTCGGTGGTCTTGTGGTTGGGATATGGAAGGATCAACAGATCTGGACTAATATTCAGACATTTCGATCCTCAATTGATAAAATGCATTCTTACATACTTCTGAAGAGAATCAATACGATAATTTATTTATATAGCACTTTTAGCGTGTTCAAAGGGTGTCATACATTGTGACCGTTTCCAGGGGGTGAATCCTTTTAATGTAACTTCAGCCTACGAATTGTTACTTTTATGTGCCCCCCCACCCCCCGTGCACTGGGGATCCCAGCAAGAATAATTATTTGGGAAAGATAATTTAGATCGGTGGAGAGGCCGTCTGATCAGAAGTCTCTGAAATGAGGAGAGTAGCAGGGCAGGAAAGGGTTAAACCCCTTTCCACAGTGAAGTCGTTTGCATGAGGGCCACTATTGGACTTTTAACAATTGTAGGAAATCCTCATCACAGAACTCCTGGGTTTACATGGCCCTAGGGTTGCCAGATCCCCCAGTGGAGACGGGGTCCCCCCTTTGCCAGGTCCTGCCCCACCAGCCACCGATCAGCTGGCTGGCGGGGGGACTTACCTAGAGAAAGATTGCCTAGGAAGTGACATCATCAAACCAACAATGTCCAGGGGTCACTCTAGTATTTGAGTAAAACCTCTTTGGTAGAACAAGGACAGATCTGCACGTCCCCCCCCCCCATAGCTAGCAATCCAAAACAGCCCAGTGGAGCCTGAGCGGTGGGTGTTGCCTTCTGACACACTTCCGGTGATGTCAGGGGGCGTGGCATATGCAAATGAGTTATGCTAATGAGATATGCTAATAGGCTCCTGCACCTCTTTTTCTACGAAAGGACCCCTGCATGACCCTAAGTCTTTAGCTGCAGCAATTAACTACCTCTCCGTATATATTATGTAGTAGTTGTTTAGCAAGCAGTGCTTCTTTGTTTCTATCCAAATCATCCTTCCCAACCACTCTAACGGCAATACCACCCACCAGTCTGTGCTGACTTGAATTGTCTTGCATTCTCCACCGTCACTGGCATATTGTTATCAAATCAGTGCCTATTTAATTATTGGCTAGAAAATGAACCACCTTGTTTCTTAGTGTGTATTTTTTTAAAAAACTTCTTTTGGTAGAAATTCTACGTGGAAGCATAAAATTCAGCATTAATCCTTATCTATGCAACATGGACAATGTGCGGTGGGATGACATTGTACCTAAAGGAACTGACCTGACGTCTGCATTTACTGGGAGAACAGAAGACACCTTGGAGCTGTCAAAAACGATCAATAGAACTTGTAAGCATACATTGAATAAAAAATACGTACGATGTTGTGCAAGCCTACGGAAATATTGGGTTGGATCCCATGGTCCATCAGCCAAAGGCACTGAGGACTGTGGATTCTCCTGGCAGTGGTAGGGAGGAAAATGGAGGCAAAATTGTTCCCTCATGCCTCTTCTGTGAATGGAGAGAAGAGAAAGGAAGGGAGTGCTTTCTTCTCCTCCTTCCTTCCCACTGCAGTTTTCCAACCCAAGTGGGTATCACTCCATGCAGGTCCCATGACCATGCGAATAAGCTTTCCTGGGTAGGAAAGGACTGCTGGAGGAGGGGAAAGCCACGATCCTTGCGTGATCCCTGCACTAGATAGCAAATGTCTAGTCTTGATGGCAAACAGCCCTCCTGTCCAACAGGGGGAGCTGCAACAAAGACTTTATCTCACTTCTGTAAGGACCCAGATGCGCAGCTCCAGATTATCATGGAGCTATAATATCAACCCTAATTTTTGTAGCTGTCTCATTACAACCCAAATAACTGAAAATAGCCCTTGCATTGTTCATTGGATGATCCATCCTGTTGCATGTACTTGATTTACACTGTGTAATCCAGCCTGAGTCTCAGCAAGGAAGGTGGACTCTAAATAGCCAAATAATAATACAAGACACTATATACATCAATAGTAATCTATAAATAATAACACTAATGTAAGGACATGAGAAGAGCCCTGCTGGATCACACCACTGGTCCATCTAGTCCAGCATCCTGTCTCACACGGAGGCCAACCAGTTACTGTAGAGGGCCAGCAACAGGAAAATAGACAGTGTTTTTTCACTCGAGAATCATGCTTTCTTGGTAGAAAAAGATTTGTTTGAACATACATTTGGGCAGTGAAATTGGTTTTATTTATTTATTTATTTATTTATCCATCCATTCATTCATTCATCGATTTATACCCCGCCCTCCCCGCCAGATCATCCATGCACCAGAATTGGTAACTATGTGCCATGTTTCTACTGCCCTCACTCCTGTGCCTTTAACAGCAATCTGACATGCGGAAATTGAACAGCGGAAGCTTTTCCCACCGTTGCATACCAGAAAAGTTCTGGAGGACTTAAATTATATGTACGTGTCATGATCTGGCCTGTGCCAGTACGGCCTAGCCAGCTTAAGAGGCCTGGGTGGCAGTAGGAGGCGGCTAGGCCTACAACTCCCAGAAGGCATTGGGAGAGTCAGGAAAGATTCTAAGGGAGACCGTTTGAATCTGTTGGGAACAAAGTCTGGGGGAAGACAGTTTAAGACAGTTTCTGGCTGCTGGTTGATGGTAGCTGGAGTCTCTGAGTGAGAAGGGGAGAAGCCTCCGTCCTTTGCCTCCCTGCGGCTGGGTCTCGTGAGAGACAGGCCGGGCTGGGAGAAGGAGGAGCCTGAGTGAGTTAGGCAGGCTGGGACCTGATAGGAAAAGCCAACTAAGGCAGTTGCGTTAGTTTATTTTCATTTGACCTTTCCCCTTGTTATCCAGTTTACGCACCTTGCCCAATTTTCCTAATACACCCTGTTCTGTGTGATTTGGTTGGTGTCCGTCTGGGTCATTCACGCCTGTAACACTCGGTTAGCAAAGGCTTGGGAGCTACCCTGGGACTCCCGAGGGACCCGAAAGTCCAGGGTGGTGGCGACGAAACCCAAAGACCCCTCTGGGGGTCATGACAGTACGTAAAAACAGTAATGCCCTGACTCGGGTAGCCCAGGCTTGCCCAATCTCGTCAGATCTCCAAAAATAAGCAGGGTCAGCCCTGGCTAGTATTTGGATGGAAGACCTCCAAGGAAGACCAGGATTGTTATGCAAGGGCAGGCTAATGCTAAACCACCTCTGAACATCTCTTGCCTTGAAAGCCCTATGAGGTCATCAAGTCACAGCTGATTTATGGTGACAACAAAACTGTTTCATATTGTGTTAAACAATTAACCCTCAAATGTAGTGCTATCTTCTTGTTGTTCAGTCGCACAGTCGAGTCCGACTCTTCGCGACCCCATGGACCAGATCACGCCAGGCCCTCCTGTCTTCCACCATCCTCTGAAGTTTGCTCAATTTCATGTTCGTTGCATCGATGACACTGTCTAACCATCTCATCCTTTGCCGTCCCTGTCTTCTTTGACCTTCAATCTGTCCCAGCATCAGGGTCTTCTCCAGGGAGTGCTCCCTTCTCATTGGGTAGCCAAAGTATTTGAGCTTCAGTTTCATTATCTGGCCTTCCAGGGAACAGTCAGGGTTGATTTCTTTTGGGATTGACTGATTGGATCTTCTTGCAGTCCGAGGGACTCTCAAGAGTCTTCTCCAGCACCATAGTGCAAAAGAATCTATTCTTCGCTAGTCGTGACTTAAAGTAGCCAGAGAGATCAGGGAATTGTTAAAGGGAAAATAAACAATAACAACCGTGATATAATTACAAAACGTCAATTCAGTTTTCCAGTTGAACTGACTTTTTGTAATTATATCACGGTTGTTATTGTTTATTTTTAATCTGCTCGTGACTGGCAGGGACCTTCCAGTGCCACAGCACCTCCTGCTGCCACCTGAGAGTATTCGTTGAGTTATGATGCAATGTCTTCTGGAGGCCAAACCAAAAGATATGGCAATTGGTTGTGTTTTGGGGACTCTACCCATAGCTCAAAGATTCGAGACCCAGAATTCCAGACGGGAAGGATCTGTCTCCTAATTCTTTCTGATTGATTCCATTTCCCCCTTCCAAAAAATAAAAGTTGTAAAACAAGTTGTTAGTAAAGAGGCCTTTTATAAATGATCCCCCCTCTTCTTTCATAGGCCTCCCATGCCATCCCAGTTGCTCAGGATTCTGTTGGGGTCCAGGTCCAGAGAACTGCCAAAAATGTAAGTACATATACTACTTCGCTTGGGATAAAATATGCCAGATTTAAGATACAGTGTGACAGCGGGAGAGTAACTTGACATATCCTACTTGGGTTTTTTATACTTTATTGACCATACACTTGTTAAGATGGGTTTTAAATCCTCGCTGGATTGAGCTTCCCCTTGGCGCTGACCCATAGACCCCGCTTTGACATCATCAGTGGGACTGGAATAGGGTTGCCAGCCAGTGGCTGACATCAGGCAGGAGTCTGGGAGGGGGCGGAGGCATGGGGGCGCTGTCAGGTCGATGGTGTGACATCATTTCCGGAGCAACCAGGAAGTGACAACATGCTGCTCTGTAATGCAACGGAAACTCTAGTTTCTGCTGAATCCTAGAGCAGCTTGATGTCACTTCCGAGTTCGTCCCAGAAATGATGCCACTGCATCACCTCAAATGAAATGGATTGGCAACGTCAGCGAACAAATGAAATCGCCTTAAACACAATAAAACCACTGGCCCTCCCAAAAGCTGGGGCTCAGTGCATCTCTCTTAGTCAGTTTATACTCAATCTTCTTGTATAGACAATCAAGTCCATTTAAGAACATAAGAACATAAGAGATGCCAATGTTGGATCAGGCCAAAAGCCCATCCAGTCCAACACTCTGTATCACACAGTGGCCAAAAATACCAGGTGCCATCAGGAGGTCCACCAGTGGGGCCAGGACATTAGAAGCCCTCCCACTGTTGACCCCACCCCCAAGCACCAAGAAGACAGAGCATTACTCGCCCCATAGCCCCTATCTATACCTTGTGGCTAATAGCCACTGATGGACCTCTGCTCCATATGCTTATCTAATTCCCTTTTGGAGCCATCCATGCTTGTAGCCGCCACCACTTCCTGTGGCAGTGAATTCCAAGTGTTAATCACTCTTTGGGTGAAGAAGTACCCCACATTTCCCACCCCACATTACCTCTCCTCCCTTTGTTTTTAGAACTTAACTGAAGGACAGAAGCAATTTGTTTGGTATCCTCAAACAGTGTGTGATAGCTGAATAAATAAATATAAGGTGTTTTTTTTAAAGAACCTATACCTATTCAGTGAACTTTTGGAGCGATATGTATTTCTTCTTGGTTGCTACGTTTTCTACATGTTAGAAATTAATACTGGGGGGGGGAGGAATGTATGACATTGCAGCAGTGTTACATTTAATTCTTGGAATATTTCTTTTCCAGTAACGCGGACCATCTGTGCTCCCCAGTGCTCTGGCCGGTGCAAGGGGAGGGAGCCCAGTGACTGTTGCCACACCCAATGCGCTGCAGGATGCACAGGCCCTAGAGACAGTGACTGCTTGGTAAGGCCACAGAAACCCACCTAAGATTCTCTTTGTATGGCGCAGTCGAATCCAAGAAGGATTAAGACAGGGTTCCAGTGGGCTGGATCCAACCAGCTTCTCTGCTAGTGAAACTGGTGCCGGAAAAGGGCTATGCTGAGAATCACAGAACCTTGTTAAACTCGGCATCTCGTTTGCCATGGGAAGAGTGTATTGCTGTAGATGACTGGGAGGGGGGGTTTCCTGTGTCGTTCTGTGTGTGTGTGTGTGAGTGTGAGTGAGAGAGAGAGAGAGAGAGAGAGAGAGACTGGGAACGCTTTGCTATGCAGCTGTGTATAACTCTTTCTCAAGACGCCTCCCTGTCTCTGGGAAGACCGCACAACTGACCTTGGATGCTGTCTCTGCGTGCTCCACTAACATAGATAACCTAACGGGTGCCTCACAGGTGTGTGTGGGGGAAGTAGAGGAGCGCGAAAGCTTGGCGGGGGCTGTACGCTTGGACTGATTGGATGGGACACGGGGGGGGCTGGGTTGAACTCTGTATAACTGTGGGCCTTGGCGCCAAACCTTTAGTTCTGACACAAATAAGTCTTAGCTTGAATCATCTTTACTACTCAATAAACATATCTCTGCTGAGGGAGTGTCGTCGTGAGTAATTTTGTTCAAGAGTCTGACAGACCTTCATGTTCAGTGAGGATGTATTTAAAAAAAACAAACAAGGATGTTTTCATTTAAGTCTTTCCCACTTGATTTTACTGTAGCTTTACCTTCTGCCTTTTCCAGCTCATCAAAACTTTGTTTCTTTTACCTAATAATCCTATAGCTTTAAGCGCTCCTTTGGAAAGCCGATTGAAAACAAGTTAGTTCCCAATTTTTTTCCATAAGAAATAGCTACCGTATATCAAGATACTGCAAAGTAAAAGGTCATTCGCCCTTGTCGTAAAATCAGGCATTGGCTGCGTTCAGACATCAGGGTAGTGGTTTGTTTGAACTAGAGTTCATTATTTTGCTGTACCTTATCTATATCTCAGATCACAGTTTGTCCATCAATCTCAGAGAGGACCTTCCTCCTTTTCCAACTCAAAGCAAAATCCCCAGGTGCTGCCCCGAACTCCTTTTTGTTACTGGTCTGCTAGTAAAGCCTCTGCACGTGTGCAGTCCTGCTATTGGCCAGCTGCAGAAAATGGGAAGGAAATGGAGCATAGGACAGGGAGAAGCCTCGGGTGACCCAAGCCGCCGCCTCCTTCATAAGAACATAAGAACATAAGAGATGCCAATGTTGGATCAGGCCAAAGGCCCATCCAGTCCAACACTCTGTATCACACAGTGCCAGAAATACCAGGTGCCATCAGGAGGTCCACCAGTGGGGCCAGGACATTAGAAGCCCTCCCACTGTTGACCCCCCCCCCCAAGCACCAAGAAGACAGAGCATCACTTGCCCCAGAGCCCCTATCTATACCTTGTGGCTAATAGCCACTGATGGACCTCTGCTCCATATGCTTATCTAATTCCCTTTTGAAGCCGTCCATGCTTGTAGCCGCCACCACTTCCTGTGGCAGTGAATTCCATGTGTTAATCACTCTTTGGGTGAAGAAGTACCTCCTCTTATCCGTTCTAACCCGACCGCTCAGCAATTTCATGGAGTGCCCACGAGTTCTTGTATTGTGAGAAAGGGAGAAAAGTACCTCTTTCTCTACCTGCTCTTTCCCATGCATAATCTTATAAACCTCAATCATGTCACCCCTCAGTCATCGTTTCTCCAAGCTAAAGAGCCCTAAGTGCCTTAACCTTTCCTCATAGGGAAAGTGTTCCAACCCTTTTATCATTCGAGTTGTCTTTTTCTGCACTTTTTCCAAAGCTATAATGTAAGAGATCGGCCTGATCAAGTTTCTGAAGTTTGTTTCTTTTACCTAATAATCCTGTAGCTTTAAGCGCTCCTTTGGAAAGCCAATTGAAAACAAGTTAGTTCACAATTTTTTTCCATAAGAAATACTACCGTATATCAAGATACTACAAAGTAAAAGGTCATTCGCCCTTGTCGTAAAATCAGGCATTGGCTGCGTTCAGACATCAGGGTAGTGGTTTGTTTGAACTAGAGTTCATTATTTTGCTGTACCTTATCTATATCTCAGATCACAGTTTGTCCATCAATCTCAGTTAGTGTGGCACCTTCCTCCTTTTCCAACTCCAAGCAAAATCCCCAGGCGCTGTCCCGAACTCCTTTTTGTTACTGGGCTGCTAGTGAAGCCTCTGCACTTGTGCAGTCCTGCTATTGGCCAGCTGCAAAAAATGGGAAGGAAATGAAGCATAGGACGGGGAGAAGCCTCGGGTGACCCAAGCCGCCTCCTCCTTCCTTCTGGCTAAGGGGAGTCAGTTCCCTTCCCTGTCTAACTGATTCCCCAAATTCTTGAACTTTTTAACTCCGAAACAAAATGAGTCTCTAATAGAACCATCTTTTCTCTCTTGCCAAATGACTCCCTTGTAAATGCCCCCCAGGAGAGGCTGAAGTCCCTGAAGTACATTCCTGCTTGGCAAGTCATCGATGGGGGGGAGGGGGAGAAAAGAGAGGAAGGAGGGAGTGTGCTCACGACTAGGCACCATCAATAGCTGAATGCTGCAGGAGATGCAAGAATTGCTCTGTAGGTCTGTGATTGTATCAGTGAGGTTTACTGCTGAGTGTACATTCTTAGGAGTGTGTACTGGGCGAAGGGTGATGCTACTGAACAAACTGGAATTTTCTTCATTCGGATGTCTTGATGACAACAACCCCCATAGGATTGCACAGTTACTACAAACCATGGTTAACTGTGCAATCCTGTGTGCCTAGGAGGGCATGACTCTGCCTAGGACTCCATAGTTGGAATCCTGCTGTAGAGCAACCAACAACGAACCGCAGTTTGGACAGCCTTACACTGAGACATTTACACTAAACCAGAGTTTACTCAAACTGCGGTTTAAAAGTTGTGGTTTATCAACTTAACAAGCCGTACAACATAGAAAAACCCTTTTTTTTCTATCATGCCAAGTCTGATCCTCTTCTTGTTACTATCCAGCTGGAGATGCTACAGTGAAATCAGTAGACCTAATTCCAGTAAGATTTTAATATTGCATTTTTATATAATAAAGGTAGTGCTGACTATTTAATTTTTATGTTAGCTGCTCTGTATCTTGGTTCTCACCATCAACAAGATGAATAATGGGACATCTGTTTGTTTCTGTCTAACATTATTCTGAGCCAGGCTTCTATTCAGAATAAATCACAGTAAAAATCCTGGGCAAAATTGCTCCAGTCTAAACCCATTGATCAGACTGGAGTAACTTTGTAGAAGATTGCACTGCCACCTGGGAACGATGATAATACTGGATGATGCAAGACCCCTACTTACAATATACTTCTTTAAAGTACTTTTATATTTTTCGCAGATAAATAAGTTAAATGTGTGTCGCATGTTACGTAGCAGGGCGGAAAAATATGTATTATAACATCAGGACACAATAAGTTGTCCTAGGTGTTACAGAGGGAAGTAAAGAACTGGAAACACGGCTGCCTTTTTTAATGGAAACCACTCGTGTATCATAACATTTAGCTCTGACCCAAGAGCCCATGTGGTCTGGCTGATGGACCATTAAACTTGGACTTGGGACTCTGATCCTAACCATATGTATGTGAAGATAAGAGCCACTGGTTTCAGTGAAACATGCCCAAAGCAAGTGTACTTTAGGGTCAGGTCCTAGCTCAAGCATTAGACATAACTTTCCCTCCTGTAAAATAGGGATTATGACGATCTATGTTACTCTTCCATTGAGGCTGACTCTATGATGTAAACTATTATATAATGATGAACTCTTGGTCAGAAGTCCTTGGAGTCCAGTCTTCTAAAACCAGGTTTGGTACAATGAATGTTTCACAAGTTTGATTGGATGCAGATGCATAGCTGCTGTTGTCTGTTACTAGCGAGCACACAGCACAATCCCTTTTGCGTTGTTTACTTACAGGCTTGTCGCAATTTTTCGGATGATGCCACCTGCAAGGAATCTTGCCCACCTTTGCAAAAATATGATTCTTTTGAACATCAGATGACGAACAACCCAGATGGAAAATACAGCTTCGGAGCAACTTGTGTAAAGAAGTGCCCGCGTAAGTCTGAAAATTTTTTTGCTGAGCAATGCCTTTTAAGGGTAGACTAAAGGTCTTCCCAATCTGGGGTACCTCAAAATGCTTACTTGGAATTTGTGTCTTGTGGAGAGCCAGTTTGGTGTAGTGGCTAGGAGGGCAGACTCTAATCGGGGAGAACTGGGTTTGATTCCCCACTCCTCCACATGCAGCTACTGGTATGACCTTGGGTCGGTCACAGTTCTCTCAAAGCAGTTCTGTCAAGAGCAGTTCTCAAAAGAGCTCTCTCAGCCCCACCTACCTCACGGCGTCTGCTGTGGGGAGGGGAAGGGGAAGGAGATTGTAAGCCACTCTGAGACTCCCGAATGAAGGGCAGGGTATAAATTCAATCTCCTCCTCCTCTTCTTCTGATTAATGCATTTGCTCCTGATCCTGAAACATAGAAGAATTATCCACAGTTGGTGTCCATTGTATACAGGCCAGTCCCTTTGACAAAGAATTAATGGACACATGTCTGACCAGGGCTTTTTTTGTAGAAAAAGCCCAGCAGGAACTCATTAGCATAATAGGCCACACCCAACAGCCAAAACTTATTAGCATATTAGGCCACACCCTGACACCACAGCTCATTAGCATATTAGGCCGCAGCCCCATGTTGCCAGAAGTGTGGTCATCCAGCCACACCCACCTTTTGCTTCTTATTCTGTTTACCTTGTTTGCTGTCAAAACCCAAGGCCTTTTTTTTGTAGCAGGGACTCCTTTGCATGTTAGGCCACACACCCCTAATGTAGCCAATCCTAATGAGTTTCTGCTGTTGGGTGTGGCCTATTATGCTGGGTGTGGCCAACTCAGGAGCCAGCTGGAACTCCGTTCCTGGTCGTTCCTGCCTAAAAATAGCCCTGTGTCTGACATTAGAAACCACAGCATTCAAAAACCAGTGGGGGGGACATTTTAACCTTCCAGGACATTCAGTTGCTGACCTAAGAGTAGCAATTCTCTTACAAAGGAATTTCAAAGGGAAACAGGGTTCCCAGGTCCCTCCTGGCAGCTGGAGGGGGATGGGCGCTGGGCTTACCAGGAGCAGGGAGCTTCATCCAATGATTCAGCAACATGCCCCCGTGACTTCCAATGTGACCCAGAAGTGATGTAGGCATGTCGAGGGGACACTCTGGTTTTTGGGCAAAAACCATAGAGTTTTTGCCCAAAACCAAGAGTTATCACCCCCATGTGCCTACATCACTTCCGGGTCACAGTGAAGTCATGTAGGCATGTCACTAAAACATCAGATAAGTCCTGCCCACCAGCCAGCCAATTGGCAGTGGAGAGGTGGGGCCTGGCAGTGTAGGACCCCTGCCCCCACGAGGGGGTCTGGCAACCCTAAAGGGAGATTAGAAAGACAGAATGAAGAATTGCAACTGATAGTGAAGCTCAAGACAATGCATCCTCTGGAACTGAATCGAGACCTAGGTTTCCTGTCTCATTACTAATGCTGATATCTCCACGCCTACTACCCGTCTGCATATCACACCTAATCTAATCACGCCTGCTATTGTCATTCGACTGCTATTGCCATTCAGCATCTGAAATCACTTTCCAAAATATAGGACAGATGGACTCACATTCTAGCTGTATCTGAAAAAGTTAGTGACTCACAAAAGCTCATACTCTGCCACAAACTTTGTCAGTCTTTAAAGTGCTGCTGGACTCTTGCTCTTTTCTACTTTATACCTTTGCATGAGTGAATTTTCTTTGGTGTCCTGATTTCCAGTGTGCCTCCTGTTTTAATTCATAGAAGAAAAATGTGTCTCACCTTATAGGAGTTTGGGAATTTTTTTGTTAAGAAGAAGTGTACGGAAAACATATAGATTTTATTTTTACATTAAACTCCCAATATGCTAGAATATATTTCAGATATGTATTAGGTTGCAACTACTACCTCATCCATTCGGGACACCAG